AAATACTGTTTTACCACTTCTATTCAATATAGTCCTGGAAAGTCTAGCCAGAGCAAATAGATAGATGAAAGAAATTAATGGGATGTAAATAGGAAAAGAAGAACTGAAACTATCACTATTTGCCAATGACATCATTCTATATTTAGAAGACCCAAAAAATTCCACCAGAAAACTTCTTGAGCTATTAAATGAATTCAGCAAAGTAGCAGTATATAAAATCAACACCCATAAATCAAATGCGTTTCTACATACCAGTGATGAATCCTCTGAAAGAGAAATTAGAAAAACTACCCCCTTTGCAACAGCCTCAAAAATACATACATACATACATACATACATACATACATACATACATACATACTATACTTGGGAATCAATCTAACAAGAGAAGTGAAAGACCTCTACAATGAAAACTACARAACCTAATGAAAGAAACTGAAGACCTTAGAAGATGAAAATATCTCCCATATTTTTGCACAGGCAGAATTAATATTGTCAAAATGGCCATACTACCAAAAGTGTTATGCAGATTTAATGCAATTCCTATTAAAATCCCTATGTCATTCTTCATAGAAAAAGAAAAAGCAATCATGAAATTCATTTGGAAAAATAAGAGACCCAGAATAGCCAAAGCAATCCTTAGCAAGAAGAGTGAAGCAGGGCTGGGGATGTGGCTCAAGCGGTAGCGCGCTCACCTGGCATGTGTGCGGCCCGGGTTCGATCCTCAGTACCACATACCAACAAAGATGTTGTGTCCGCCAAAAACTAAAAAATAAATATTGAAATCTCTCTCTCTCTCTCTCTCTCTCTCTTTTTAAAAAAAAAAAAAAAAGAAGAGTGAAGGAGGAGGTATCATAATACCAGACCTTAAACTATACTACAGAGCAAAAATAACAAAAATGGCATGGTATTGGTACCAAAATACATATGAAGACCAATGGTATAGACTAGAAGACACAGAGACAAACCCATATAAATACAGTTATCTCATACTAGACAAAGACACTAAAAACATACATTGGAGAAAAGACAGCCTCTTCAACAAATGATGCTAGGAAAATTGGAAATCCACGTGTAACAAAATAAAATTAGACCCCTAGCTCTCACCCTGCACAAAACTCAAAGTGGATCAAGGACCTAGGAATTAGATGAGAGAACCTGCACTTAACAGAAGAAAAAGTAGGCTTAAATCTTCATCATGTTAGTTTAGGATCTGACTTCTTCAACATTACTTCTAAAGCACAAGAAATAAAATCAAGAATCAATAAATGGGATGGATTCAAACTAAAAAGCTTCTTTTCAGCAAAAGAAATAATCAATAATGTAAAGAGAGAGCCTACAGAATGGGAGAAAATTTTTACCACACTCACATCAGATAGAGCACTAATCTTCAGGATATATAAAGAACTCAAAAAATTTAACGACAAAAGCAAATAACCCAATCAATAAATGGGCTAAGGAACTTAACAGACACTCCACAGAAGATATACAATCAATCAACAAATATATGAAAAAATGTTCAACATCTCTAGCAATTAGAGAAATGCAAATCAAAACTACTCTAAGATTTCATCTCACTTCAATCAGAATGGCAATTATCAAGAATACAAGTAACAATAAGTGTTGGCAAGGATGTGGGGGGGAAGTACACTCAAACGTGGGATTGCAAATTGGTGCAACCCCTCTGGAAAGCAGTATGGAGATTCCTTAGAAAACATGGAAGGGAACCACCATTTGACCCAGTTATTCCACTCCTCAGTTTATACTCAAAGGACTTAAAATCAGCATACTACAGTGATGCAGCCACATCCATGTTTAATTCATAATAGCTAAACTATGGAAACAGTCTAAATGCMCTTCAACAGATGAATGAATTAAGAAAATGTGTATATGTACACAATGGAATATCAGCCTTAAAGAAGAATGAAATTATGGCATCTTCAGGTAAATGAACAGAGTTGGAGAATATCATGCTAAGTGAAATAAGTCAATCCCAAAAACCCAAAGGGCAAATGCTTTCTCTAATATGCATATGCTGATCCCTAATGGGGGAGGAGGGCTAGGGAAGAATGGAGAAACTTTGCATTTGGCAGAAGGGAATGAGGGAAAGGAAGAGGGAGTGGGAAGGATGGTGGAATGAGACAGACATTATTATCCTATGTATGATTGCATAAATGGTATGACTGCATTGTGTACAGCCAGAGAAATGAAAAGTTGTGCTCCATTTATGTACAATAAGTTGAAATGCATTCTGCTGTCATGTATAACTAATTAGAAAAAAATTTTTAAAAAATTAAAAATAAAACTCGTGGGCACAGTGACAGATGACTCTAATCCCAGCAACTAAGGATGTTGAGATAGGAAGATCATAAGTTCAAGGTCAACCCCAGCAACTAAGAAAGATCCTAAATAATTTAGTGATACCCTGTCTCAAAATAAAAAATAAAAAGGACTGGGGATGTGGTTCAGTGACTAAGCATCCCTGAGTTCAATCTCAGACATCAAAACAAAACAAAATGGATTCTTTCATATGTTTTCAATTTAAGTCAGATCTCCAGTTGTTCCCCTGATCACCTTGCAATATGTCAATCATTTCRGGTACAGTGGTGGGAAAAAAAAATCCTGGAAAATTAAACTATCTACGTATCAAATGAAATAACCTTTTAAATTGTCAGAAGATTATTTTATCCTCCTATGTAGCCACCTTTAATAATACCTACCTTTCCACAAATTAAACAAATGAATTTTACTCTGCTAAATACAACTCCTGCCAAAATCCTTCCCTATAGAAAACTGAGAATGAATGATATGCCATGGTAATTTAAAAATTAAAAATTCAATCATGCTATAAATCTATTTTATGTACTTGATGAATGCTACTGTTGGTTAATGCCTAATATGTGGGCATAACTGAGGCTTACTTACTGGCAATTATTTCAATTACTTCAAACATTTGCAAAGCTGTTTTTGTTTGTGTTTTTTAATTTTTTTTTTTTTTGGTTGTTGATAGACCTTTATTTTATTCATTTATTCATATGCAGTGCTGAGAATTGAACCCAGTGCCTCACACATGCTAGGCAAATGCTCTACCACTGAGTCAAAACCCCAGCCCTGCAGGGCTGGTTTTATTTGTAACTATTTCTGCCTGAAAGGCAAATTGATGGATTTCCTCACACTTTGTAGCTCATGAATGTCCTGTATTAACTCTTCTCACTATTTCAGTATATTTCTGGGCTTGCAGAAATGTACTGCAGGAAGGATGGCCTTATGCTGGTAAATTTTTTTGTTGGCARTCCTGCTTAAGAGCCAGATGAGATATTGTAGCGAGTTCAAGTCCAAAGTCAAAGAGATTAGAAGTCACAGAGCTACCACTATTGTGTATATTTTAATCAGGTATGCACAACCTACTGTTTTCTAAACAAATTAGTTTTTATCTGTGTTATACCTTAAAATTTATCTGCTGTGAGGGGAGGGCCCTAATTTTCTTCCACTCATAGGGTAGCATTATTTACAGTTAAGGAGGAAGAATAAGAAATTCTATACTTTTTCCTTAATGACTAAGTAAACTGATTTTGACAGGTGATTAGATTCTGAAAGTTAGAGGCAGGAAGGGTGACTAGATAAGAATGGTCCACAGAAGTCATGAGGCATGAAGGAAAGGACTGGTCAACTGTTAAGTACTTCAGAAAAAGCAGTGACTCAGGATTTGGAGGTTGTGAGTGGAGGGCAGAAGTGATAAGTAGTGAAGTTGAAGAAAGTCATTTCAGTAGAGGGCACAGGGAAAACACAGACTGTGCTGCATCAAGGAGGAAAAGGGACTAGAGAAGCAAGAAGCTTTTCAGAAGTGAGCAATGAAAGAAAGAAGAAAAATGAGCAGGAGCTAAAATAAGGCAAAAAGCTAAAATTTATTTATTTTTAAGATGCCTGAAAGGTAAATAAATATAAAAGGTGAGAATTTCAGCCCCAAAATCTTTGAAAAGCTACAGAATTCAATCTAGAACTGCCCACTCTCTATCTCTATTGAACTGTCACAAAAGCATTTCAAAGTCCAAAAGTTCAACAGTGAATTCAATATCTTTCTTCCAAAGCCTGTCTTTCCTCTAGTACTGCTTATCTTTGTAATAGGATCTGTTTATGTGGGACCCAGGCAAAAAACCTAAGTCTTCCTGYACTTTTCTCTCTTACCTGTTCCACCCTGTTTTAATCATAACAAATGACTTCTTGTTCCTCTAATGTATTATTTTGTTTCTTACCTATGATAGGTATATCATAGTGCTTTGCTCATGCTTCTTCCTTTACCTAGAAGTTTCCTCAAACCCAAGCTACATAACTACTTATCTATCAGTCAAGACTACTCAAAACAAAAACCAAGAGGGGGAAAGGAAGGAAAATAAAAGAGACTTGGCACATTCTCTTCTATGAAGCCTTTCCTAAATATGTCTTTGCACCCTAGGAAATTTAACCATTACTTTGTTTAGTATTCATTCCCATTATTTCTAATGGTCCTGATGACAATTTATTTTTCCAAGTAAGTACAGAAACAAATGGTTGCCATCCATTATTACCATCATAAAAATAACATTTTTTATGAAAATAATTTTTATCAAACTACCTTAATGTCACATTAAAAGATGCTTGTTCTTTAGAAGGTTAGAAGTCTTACATTAACTGTACTTAGACATACTACGTCATTTCTCACTTCACTAAAGACCAATGAAAATAGCACAGTGCCCTAACAGATTCTCCTCACTAATACCCTTAACACTTCATTCTTCTCCTTTGTAAACATACCTCCCTCTGTCTACTAGTTGGTAAATCCCTTAGGAACATAGTTTATAAATACTTAATCTTTGTATCTGCAATATTCAATCTAGTCCCTAAAACAAAATAGATATGCAATAAATGTTTGGTAAAAGTATAATGAAGAGAAAGCAATAGAGAAAAAATATATAAGGGCTAAAAAGGAGATGAAAGAATATCTTTGAAAAATAGCCACCAACTTGTAATTGAAGATGTAGATGGATTAGTGATCTCTAAGCCAAAAGGATTCTTGACTTGTCTCATTTGCTTTTTGAAAACTCTTGTGTTGAACTGGGTCTCTTCTGAATTTCTCAGAATTACTGGAACATCCCAACCAAACCTAAAGAAAAGTAAAAATAAAACATAATTTTAACAAATGTTGAAATTTTATTGTCATATGTATATTGTGCTTCACGAAGCTAGTCCTTTTAACACAGATTGTTTAAAARAGGTTGTTACTTAACTTATACTATCTTGCAGAATTAATCTAGTATTAAGAGAGATTAGAGGTCCCATAGCACTGCAACACACAGTTCAGCTGGCTGAATCAACATACTCTTGAGAATAAGAGTTATATTGTTAATATTCTTAATAGCAATAAAGGAACATAGTGATTTTAGGTAAATTATACTTAGTAGCAAAAATAGTATAGAATTATTACATTTTTAAAAAGATATGAAAAACAAATATACATTCAATATGCAGACTACTTGCTATAATTTATCAGGCAAGAGAACTTTTAAAATACCAAAGATAGTCCTTCATTTACATAAGCGATTTTCTATTTTTAAATTTCATGTAAAAATGTAAACTCTGACATACACAGTGAACAGATTTGAAAGGAAAATGAGACTAAACTCAAGTTTTAGTAAAATTTCAGACTTCGATATACTCCTTTCTCTATATATACATACCAGTAATAGATAAGAAATAAAATTAAAGAGACCTTGCTGAAATGAGTAAGCAAAACAGTATATTTAAACAAAGAAATAGTAATATTTAGCACAGAAAAAAAAACAACTTTTTGCTATAACCACGTGAATGAATTTCAAAAAACATGATGCTGTGCAAAAGAAACCTCATACAAAGGAGCAAACATTGTATGATTCCCTATTATAAAATTCCTGCCAAGAACAGTGGCACATGCCTGTAATCCCAGCAACTCGGGAGGTTGAGGCAGGAGAACACAAGTTCAAGACTAGTCTTGGCAACTTAGTGAGACCCTGTATCAAAATAAAAAGTAAAAAGGCCTGGGGTTGTGGTTCAGTAGTAGAGCACCCCTGGGTTCCATTCACAGTTCTTACAGTTCTGAAAAAAAAAATAGAAAGAAAGAAAAAGGTAAGTAAAGAAAGGAAATTCTAAAGTAGGCAAAACTAACTTCTGGGAGAAATAAAAAAGAGAACAAAGGTTGCTTCTGGGAGTACAGGGGTAGGAAATGAGTGGGAAGGAGCATAAAGAACCTTTACTGGTGATGAAATCTATATCTTGATGAAAGTTGAATTGAATAGAAAGTTTGATAACACTTGGCCAATGATATGCTTGAGAACTGTTCATTTCATTGTATGTAAATATTACTTTAAAAGAAAAAGAACTACGAACAAAACAAACACTGAACTCTAGCTAATAATAGTCATGTTCTGGTACTTATGAAGGAAGAGCACAACTTCCTTTGAAATGTATCCCAAAATAAGATGGACTGTTGATTGGATAGAAGATGGATGAATGGACAAATATGTAATAAGAAAATTATAATAATTTTGGTGTAGAATCTAAGTGATGGGTAAATGTTCCCTATATAATTCTTTCTATTATTCTGTTTGAAAATTTTTATAATAAAATGTTGGAAAAGAGACATAGCTGGGTTTAAAAATAAGTATCTTAATGGATCTGAAAAGGGAAAGAAACATAATGAGTAAAGCTGATGCCATGGTGTGATGGGCCCTGAGTCTTGTAGCAGGCAGTGGCAACTAAGCCTTCACGTACTAGGAAGCCAGTAGAGGTTATCTATCCAAGACAAGGGTCAGATCGAGGTTCATAATACCAGGAGCTGGTTAGGCAAATGTCAATCTTGAGCACAACTATCATTATAAGTCTCAGTCTTAAGACTGATCTAAGAATCTAGGTGTAAATAATTATAAAATCATACCACGAAAATTTAGGTTGAAAACTAATATGTCAAAACATGACAATAAACCTAATGCTGAGAGGACATGAATAAAATTAACAAATAGAACAGAAATCCATTCAAGATGATGAATTTAATTTTATTGGACAGAAAAACCTGCTCTGGCCCTGCCTAATAAAGCTGGGAAGTAAGTGTCTACCAGACCAAACTGTTTGCAAGCATCTTAACTGTGACCCAGAGAAAAGCTCAAGAATACAAAAATACCCAGCATCTCATAAGGTAAAAATCACAATATTTTTGCATCTAATAAAAAAATTAATAGGCATGCAAAGAATTAGGAAAATATTACCCATAATGAGGAGGAAAAACTAAATAAAAGGTAATTAAAGTTTGAACATATTATATAGAGACATGGACGATATAAAAAAGACCCAAATCAGGGCTGGAGTCGTAGCTCAGTGGTAGAGTGTTCACCTAGTCCGTGTGAGGCACTGGGTTTGCTCCTCAGCTTTACATTAAAATAAAATAAATGTATTATGTCCATCTACAACTAAAAATACCTTTAAAAAAAAGACCCAAATCAACTTCTAGAGATGATAAATACAATATACTGAGATGAAAAATACACTGGATGGGATTGACTGCAGAACAAAAGATGAGTGAATAAATCTGAAGGCAACATAATAAAAAGTACCCCAATGAAACAGGAAAAGAAAACTGAATAATAATAATTTTAAAAAGTCAGTAAAACAAAGGACAATTTCAAGCAGCCTAATATAGATGTAATTGAAGTCTACAGAGCAAAGTCAGAGGACAGATAAAGCATTTAAACATATAATGGTCAAATTCATTGAAAAGTATAAACCCACAGATCCAAAAATTTAATGAACTCTAAACACGTGAAACGAGGAAGAACACACTCAAGCACATTGTAATCACACTGCCTTAAACCAGTGACAAAGAGAATATCTTAAAAGAAGTACTGCATAAGACAGAAGTTATTCTTAGCAGAATTAATGAAAGCCAAAATATCTTTAAAGACATAAAATAAAAAGCTGTCAGTCCAGAATTCTATACCTGTATTTTTTCAAAATCAAAAGAAAAATAAATATTTTTTCACACATAACAAAAGCAAAAAAGAATTCATCATCAACATAATTTCTTGCACAACAAGAAATATTAAAGGAAATCTTTTGGGGAAAAGGTGAATGATACCAAGTAGCAATTTAGACTGTTACAAAAAATGTACAGCACAGAAATGGTAATGACCTGGGGAAATATAATGTTCTTCTTATTTCTTTTTTTCCTTCTTCTTTCTTAAACCTCTTTAAAATATTACTTGAAAGTTGACAGTATACCACAAACCCTAAAGCAATCACTAAAAAAAGTTATTGCTAACAAACCAACATAAATCACTTAACTAATGCAAATGAAGAATGAACAAGAGGGGAAAAGAAAGAAAGTACAGACAGGACAAATAGAATATAAGTAGAAAGATGGTAAACTTAAATCCAACCTTATTGATAACAGCATCAAATATAAAATGATTAAAAGACAAAGATTATCAGATTGGATAAAAACATAAGACCTAACTACATGCTGCATATACAAAACCCACTTGAAATATAAAGACAAAAAAAATAGATTATAAGTAAAATATGGAAAAAATATACCTGCTAATACTAATCAAAAGAAAGCCGTAGAGGCTGGGGGTATACCTCAACAGAAAGTACTTGCCCAGCACACAAATGTCCCTGGGTTCAACTTTCAGCACTGCGGGGGCGGGGGGGGGGGGGGGGGAAGCTGGAGTAGCTATATTAATGTCAGACACAGTAGATATGAGGGCAAAGACTATTAACAAGAGTACAGATGGCCATTTCATAATGACAAAAGGATTAATTAATTAGGCAGACACAAGAATTTTAAATGTTTATGCATGTATTAATAGAAATTCAAAACCTAAAGTAAACCCTAACACAATTGCAAAAAGAAACAGAAAAATCCACATAGTCAGCAATTTAGACGCCTCATGAACTCAATAATTGGTAGCACCAATAGACAGAAATATCAGTAAAAATAGCAAAGACTTGACTAATACTATCAATCAATTTTACCTGACAGGTATAGAACATCTCACCCAATAATAGCAAAAAWATATATTCTTTTTAAGTGCATTAGGAAATTTACCAGAGAGGGAGGCCATATTCTGGATATAAAACAAATCTCAATTCATTTACAAGATCAAATCATAAAAACTATATCTGGCCACAGTGGAATCAAATAATAAGTCACTAACAGATATCTTGAAAGCTCCCAAATATTTAGATTAAATAGCAAACTCCTAACTAAACCAGATTTCAAGGAGAATTTTAAAAATTATGAACTAAATGAAAATGAAAATATATAAAACAAAATTCACGTGATGTTGGTAAAGCAATCCTCTTAGAGAAATCACAAGTCCTAAATGGTTTGATCCTGAGCACCATACCCTCCCCACCAAAAAAAGAAAAAAGCACCAAACACTGGCTGCTCAATCTTATTAAATATAGACCTCCAATTAATCAAGTTTCAGTCAGATAAACAAGTACAAGGTAACAAATTGTTTCTTTCTTTGGGTGGTACTGGGGAGTGAACCCAGGGGTGTGCCATCATGGAGCTACATCCCCAATGCTTTTTTTTTTTTTTTTCTTTTTTTAAAGACAAGGCCTCCCTAAATTGCTCAGCCTGGCCTTGAACTTGCAATAGTCTGCCTGCCTCTGCCTCCTGAGTTGCTGGGATTACAAGCACCTGATGATGGGTTAACATTGTAGATCCAGAATTTCTTGAGAATATATCCTGGGCCTAACAAACTAATAATCCATTCTCACACATATTCCCAGGTTCCCACAGGTACAATTTAGCAAAATCTTGCAATTCTTTTATAGGAAAAGCTATTTCCAGCCAGACCTGATTTTTGCTCCTGTACTGTRGAACATGCAGAGATCTCCATCTCAGGGCAAAAGGCAGAACTAAGTATGGATATCCCTTTGCAAGAAGACTGCTCTAACTGTAGTTATCACAGGATCTTCAAATGAGGGAAGACTAGATTTCTAACACATGAAAGACTACCTTCATCAAGAGGGCAGGCACAGAGTAACTGGGGTTTCAAGATTCTCAGTGTGTCCATGTCTATCTAGATGTCCCCACTCTAAGTTAGAGACCCAATTCTTTCTTATCAATGTGCTAAATAAGACACTAAAAGGCTGTAAAGTCTATAACCAGCACAATTAAAACTGGGTTAAATTTTTAGCAAGATTGACCTCGTGGCTATACAAAATAAAATACTTTAGAATCACAGAAACTCTGATTCTCCGAGACTTGATTTGAGAGTTTCAAAATTTGAGTTGGTCATTTTCTTTCTGTAAGCGCTCCAGTGAACTCAGCAGCAACCAAATCAGCTCTCCCTCAGCCCTTGTAGGCATTGTTCCTGCTGTAACAGTCAAACGCTTTAACTACTTGGTCCCCCAAGGCAGCTGCTTCAGAAATAATTTTATCACCATTAACCAAAGGTAKTAATTTAATAAATTAAATTATACTRCATGCCATAGATTATTAGAACCTTATTTCTCATTAGCAAGAGCTGAAGAAATAACCAATTCAGCCCCCAAACCCTATCTCTAATGATTTTTTCTTTCTAGGATTCCATTCTTAGTAACACTTTATCAGTCAGGGTCCAGCGAAGAGAACAAAACCACACCAGTTATTTTAACAGAGAACTTAAACATTAAAAAATGTTAACCAGGGCTGAGGATATAGCTCAGTATAGAGTGCTGACTTGGCATGTGTGAGGCCCTGGGTTAGATTCCAGTAAGGAGAGAGGGTTAAACCAAAAGTTGAAGGAAAAAAAAAGGCAAAAAGGGGGAAACTGAATATCAAAGAAGTAGTAATAGCAGGAAGAAAGTTATTATCCTAAGACAAAGGAATAGAGGGAAGAGAATTACAACAGTGCAGAAATTTAGAGTAGCAACTCCATGGAGCTAGGATTCAGCTGAGGAAAGGATATTGGTATTTTTAAGGGGTTGTAATGAGATTAGTTCTAGAACAGTAGAAAACTAAACTGGAATAACTTGAGACCACTGCCAGAATAAAGATAGATAAGAAAAGGAATCAAACAGAAATCAGAAAGCCCCTTTATCCTCTCGAAAGCCTTCCAGTCTCCCTCCTTTCTTGGCAAAGCCTGACACACAGAAAGCTAGCAAAAGAGAAATGTGGTTTAGAGTTCTGCCCCAGATTCACAGAGGTATGGCATGAAGAGGGGTGGTTTGAATATGTCCTGGCCTAATAAACTAGCTATCCATTCTTATATATATTCCCCAGGTTCCTACAGATACAAGTTGCAAAATCTTGCAATTGTTTTTATAGATAAGCTGCTTCCAACTAGGTCAGAAAAGGTGGTATGAAGTTGAGAGACAACAGTTTAATAACCCACAGTTAAGAGGAAAGCAGGGGGTAGCTGCTGAGTCAGGATCCTTGAGTATTTGAGACTGTTAAAAGATGTATATGGCATTTTGGACTCCTTTCTGCACAGTGACTGACAGGAGCTAACAGAAACTACYATGTAGATAAAAAGAAATATCACACATCCAATGGCATGATTCTTTCCTATTGCTATTGATATCTAGTAATCAGATGATCCTATTCTTTCTCTACTTTCACCAGTATAGGTGAACACAAAGCAGTAGAATGAGCAATGGGAAAGAAACTACACTGAGGTAAAAACCATGACAGAGAAAACAGATTACCAAAAGGGAGGCAGGTCTCTTAAAAAGTATTAAGGGAGGTCTTTAAAAAAATGAAAATTATGGTGGGCTACTTAGTTTACCCTCTGGTCCTGTTTTCGTGAGATCAAAATAGAATCCAAATTTTCTTCATTTATAGTCATTAAATCTGTGACCTTGGCTTAGGTTTGCAAATAATAGTCAAAAGTTTAATTATATGGGCAAAACTAAGCCACATGAAAAGAATGGTTGAGTTAGGYTCAATGAGGCCTAATCAGGATGGAAATGACTGCCACATACATGGATGGTCTTGTGGCTTCAGCAGTGCTTTGGGAAGCAGAACTTCCACCCTTATACCTACATGGATGATTGAGTAATTGCTAAATATTGAAACTAAGCCTTAAACCTGGCAGAGTCGATCATAGTTGGGCATGGTGGCACTCATGTKTAATCCCATCGACTTAGGAGGCTGTAGCAGAAGGATCGTAAGTTCGAGACAAGCCTCAGCAATTTAGTGCAGCTCTAAGCAACTTAGCAAGACCCTGTCTCAAAATAAAAAAATCTGGAGATGTAGCTCAGTGGTTAAGCACCGCTGGGTTCAATCTATGGTACCAAAAATACAAAAAGTGAAAAACCTGACCGTCAGGATTTGAACCTCRGTCTGTCTTATGCCAAAATCTCTCAATATCTCAATCTCTCAATTTAAGTACATAATATAATTATCAACTAGGTATTGATTTTCCTAATGGAGAAAAATTATGTTTAAGAGGATTACAGCAACATTATAGTCATTTTAAAAACTTGTGTTAAGACTGCTTTTCACACTTGGGCAACACCTTTCTAATTTCTAGTTACAGATTTTCTTGAAATGAATAATAGCAATAAAACTTGATGGGTCAAGAATAACAAATTATGGAAGACTGGTTTTCATCTTTCCCCATCCACATACAAAGAATTTTCCATTCTTTCACGGGCAGGTTGGGGAGCAGTATGGAAATGCTAAAACTTCGATTAGTTCCTAAAGATGCCATGTATTTTCAGAAACTGACAAGGGCCTGTGTTCTTTCTTTAAAGTAATGACATAAATAATCAAAGGGTGTTTTTGAACTTGTTTTACAAAGCCTGCTTTAATCACTAGAATGTACTTCTGTACTCAAGTTGTGTTCTCTGAAATGCCTTCTATTCTCAACTATACACACTCAACTACTTTTCAAAAAAACTCATTGTCCAAAATTCAGCTCATGTCTTTCTCTTCAGTGGCGTTCTCTCAGAAGGGTCAGGTCATGGCTGTTATCACTTAGACCCACTATTAGCCACATTTGCAACAACCATCTTTTCAAAGGGTCTTATGAAGGCTGCAGCCTTGTGGGCTAGTAAAATGATTCCAACTTTATTTATAAGGCTTGACTCAACACAATACAATGGCATCTCCTCAAGGGAGAAAGATAATCTATGGGCCAGAAGAATTGCTTAGGAGTTATTTAACAATCTATCCTCTTTGTCTCCAAAGAGGTGTCTGCTTCAACACCATAGTGTAACTTATTTCTAAGGTCTCTTCCAGCTCTAAAAYTTTTATTTTTATAATTCTATCGACTATTGAAAAGGTGTGGAATTGTGGAATGGGCATAGAAATCATTAAATTCTCAAACGGTAACTGATTCTGAGAAAAGTTCCACTTAAAGATCTGAGGTCAMGTGTTTAGGTCGGTCAGAAACATTAACAATCACTTCTTGTTACTGTCCATGACTGTACACTGAACAGCAGGTGACTGGTTCACTCTGGGCACACAGTAGGCCTCAATCGGGAAAAAGCCTGCGGGACAAGTACTTTATCCCAACATCAAGACCAGAYGCTTCCTGGCGGCTTTATCCCCTACAAACAAAGCTGGTTAAAATATCCCAATCCGGTACCACTCCAGAAATCCGCAGCTCGGGGGGCCGGACGGCGAAGCCTGGCAGTGACGCAGGTGCGGTGTTCACCTGGTTCTCCCCCAGCAGTCAGTCGCAGTGCTCCTCACCGATTACCCAACGGCCTCTCAGGCGCCCCAKTCCCATGGGTTCCTGCTCCTGCGCCCACTGGTGCTCGCCGCGACCCCTCTCCAGGGTTGTCTGGCCCTTCGTCCCTTGCTCCTAGCCCTGGATCACTTACCATCCTAGTACCAGGCCGGTGGTCACGATGAAGCAAGTAAAGACCACCGCGATGTAGAAGAGCGGCGAGTATTCATAGAGCGTTACCAGAAACACCGCAGCCATTAGGGTCCCCTGGGCTGAGCCCGGCTCCAGCCGCCCAGCCCAGCCCAGGCCAAACCGAGCCAGCTCGGCCAGGGGTAAAAGCCACTACGGTGCCCCAAAGCGGACAAACTTTCTAGTTCCTCCTTCACCAAGGATTCCCGTGAGCTGGAAGTAGAGGCAAGCTGGCAGGAGGTGGGAGCCTGCGTACCAATCACGGCGTCGCCAACAGAGCGTGCCACGCCCCTCCGCTCCCGCCTCAAGCTATTGGCTTCGTGGAGGGGCGGAGCCCCAAATCGCACCGCCCCCAACTCCGGGGATTGGTAGCCTGCAAGCACCTCCTTCGCTAATCCGGTCCAATGGTGATCACTGTTCTGCCGGCAAATTCTAAATAAAAATTGGAACCGACTCCAAAATGTAGGCAAAGGCAGGTGTTTTGGTGCCCAAGAGAAGCAATCCGAAATCCACGTGCATCGTTTCCAAATCCTGAAACTCTACATAGGCAAATTTGGGAAGAGAAGGTCAGGCATCTTGGGTTCTATAAAGTGAAATAACCTCACACCTATTCTTTTTTAATCTAGAAGTTTTACGCATAGGCGCAATAAAAAACACAAAAAGGAGTCTTCACCAAGCAATTTATGCACGCCTTGCCATCCTTTTCAAGTTGGACTGAAAATAGAGGAAAATCAACGTTGCGTGTCCAAAATTCTCTTTAAAATGAAATAACCGGGGAGCGGAGCGGTGGCGCACACGAGTAATATCAGCTACTCCAGAGGCTGAGAAGGAGAATCTAATTGGCTGAAGAGGCCAACCCAGGCAATTTAGCTAGACGCTATCTAAAAATAGAAGAGCTATGGGTGTAGGAATTGGTAGCACTTCTCAGGGTTCAATCCTGAGTATTGAGGGCCGGGTGGTGCGGGAAGAAAGCAGAAGAGAAAGGAAGGAGGATAATCGTCCTTCTCCCTGCTTCCCTTTCCCCTCTTCCCCCTACACTCCTCGAATTAGAATTAATTTTCACTTTCATAACKTTAAAACGTTTTTTTAAATTAAGTACAAACTATAAAGTACAGGAAGTAGCTAAAAGTCCACCCCCTCTCCTCACCTCCCATCCCCTCTCAGCTCTGACTCTAATCAGCTTCTCAACTCAAAATACTTCCCTTGTGTCACTTTGGTTGTATTTAATCCTAAAGCCATACGTAGTTACAGCTGAGACCCTAGAAACATAGTCTTGTTTTGGGCAGCAATATCCCCTGCTACAAATCAGGATTTGTTACTGAAAAAGAAAGGGAGAATGGACTTTGRGACATTTCTGCAACACTCCAAAGTCACTCTTAAAATTCATGYTTGGTAAAGATGAATCAAGTTTGTCCTATGACCACCCTTGGCAAAGGATCATGTAGTAGTGCTATTTGAGAAACTTGCTTTTAYAACATAATTTATAATTACTAAGTATTTGATTTGTGAAAGAGCAGTTTACTTCATCGGTCCTCAATTGTTGGAAATTTTTTACTATAAACTGCACTGCAATGCTTGTCCTTAGAATTAAATTATTCCTTAAGATAAATTACAAAAGGTAGGGTTTTAGTTTTTAAAACATGTACAATTTTAAGACTTTAAAAAAAAAAACAACACTGCTCTCCAAAAATGTATAAATTTGTATTCTCACCCTTTCAACAATAGGGCTTTTATTATTGTTTTTTACCATCATATGATATTGGCACGTCTTGGTCAATCTGTTAGTCAATTTTATTGCCAGGAAACAATAAAGAATTTTCATTATGAAATAAAAATGTAGGAAGTCGCAAATTAAAGTGGCATTAAACATATATATCTAATTTTGTTCCCTCCTAAACCCTACTAAAACTATAGTAAAGAGATTTGAAATGTAAGGAAAAGATGAAAAAAATAAAACACGAGAAGTAATATACTGGAAGATAAAAATCAGGCAAATAAGGATAATTCACTAATCAGATCAGGAAAACCAAATCCCACACAATAATAAAGAAAACTGAGGCTTTGAGGTTGGAGAGATCACAACATACTTGAAAGACTGAAAAACTCATTTATACTGAAGAATTCTCTAAAAGAACAGAAACTAACATAAATTTAACTCAAGCCTTACCACTTCCCACTTGTTTATCTGCTACAGCCACTGAAACTTGTTTCTACTTCTAACATAGATTCTTCCCAATGCATTCATTCTGCACAGTGCTGGAAGGTGAAATTTTTCCATAGCACATATTTTACTCCACAGCCCAAAACTTGAATTCTCACATTGTCTTTCTTTGAGGATAAAGTAGAACAAGGTTTTTGTTTGTCATACCCATTTCTACAGGACTTGACTTCCACTAATTCTCTCATTTATTTGTTTAAAAAGTGTTACTGAGTGTTAGGTAAGTGCCATTGTAAACGGCATTAGAGAAATAATAATAAAAATGACATATTCCTGTCCTTATGGAGTTTTTCAACTAATGGAAAAAATAAATATTAACCAAAGAACCTAGAACAAAGTATAAAAACAAATTTATGATAAGTGTATTTAAAAGAGGTACATGGCCAGCCATGGTGGTGTACACCTGTAAWCCCAGTGTCTCGGGAGGCTGAGGCAGGAGGACTGTGAGTTCAAAACTAGCCTCGGCAAAAGTGAGGTGCTAAACAACTCAGTGAGACCCTGACTCTAAATAAAATACAAAACAGGGCTGGGGATGTGGCTCAGTGGTCGAATGCCCCAGAGTTCAATCCCCAGAACTCCCAAAAAATAAATAAAAGAGAAACATGGAGATGAGAACTCATGATGGAGGAATATAAGATAGATCAAGGAAAGGTCCCCTGAAGAACCACAGATTTAGATGAGATGTAATGAAGAAAGGTTTACCAGTCCATAGGACAAGAGGTCAGAAGAGCATTTTTTTTTAAGATACCTCCTCTCCCAAGTTTACTGCAGCATTATTTATTGAGAATTTTCTTTTTAATATTTATTTTTTAGTTTTTGGCAGACACAACATCTTTGTTTGTATGTGGTGCTGAGGATCGAACCCGGGACGCACGCATGCCCAGCGAGCGCGCTACCGCTTGAGCCACATCCCCAGCCCCAGAAGAGCATTTTGGATCCAAACTATAGAACATACCAAGGCCTTGAGGTGGGAGAGATCACAACATACTTGAAAGACTGAAAAACCAGTGTAGTTGAAGCATGCTGAGTAGGGAGAATCACTGAGAGCTGAAGATGGAAAGATAGGTAGGGTAAAGACCATTCAGGAGTCTTGCCATTTTAACTACTTAAATTTACCCAAACAGCAATAAGAAACCACTGATATGCTTGAAGAGGTCAGAGGTGACATTCTACTTGCATTACAAATCAATCATTTTGGGTAGTGTACAGAACATTGATTTGAAATAGCTGAGGTAGATATGAGTAAATATAGGTATGTCAATTACTAGTTTTTTTTTCAAAAGGCCATTTAAGAAATGGCTAACTCTGATTAAAATAGTGATAAGGACACACAGAAAAGAGGATTATTTGTTAGAAATGGTTTTATATGTGAGTGACAAAAAAGTAACAACAGTATCTTACTAAAGATAAAGGTTTATTTCTCTCTGAACTTAAAAGTCTACAGATAGGCAATATAGAGCCAATATAGTGCTTCACTATATTGCAAGAGACCAAGACTCCTAATTTGTTCCAACCCACATGACCCTAGTTCTCATGGTCCAAAATAGCAGTTCCAGCACCAGCCATCAGGTCTGTATTCTCACTAACAGGAAGGGGGGAAAAGAGGAAAACTGGGACACCATTTCCATTTAAGGATACTCTAGGGACACAGACTCTAGGGACACACCACACTTCCCATTGACCACATCTCAGCCTCATATCTGCATTTAATGGCAAGAAAGACTAAAAATACAGTCTTTGTTCAAGGTAGTCATGTGCTTGACTAAACTAGAGAGTTCTATTACTTATATAAGGAGGAAAAAAATTTTCAAAGAGAACTACAAGTCTCTGTCATAGGAGAGGTATGTGGGACTTAATGATTGAACCTGAAGCATATGAGAGAAGCAAGAGCTGAAATTCTGGCTTCTTCCACCAGAACAATGATGTACTTGTCTTTCACTGAAATTGAATTCTAAATCTCCAATATCTCACCATTTATTCCTGTTCCCTTCCCTCCTCTCCTACGAACACTGATCTTAGCCCTATTGAATTACCAATCATCTAAAACACACTTGAGTTGAATGCAGGTTTTCGAGGCCTAAAGCTTATAATTTGGGGAATCCATTCTAAGATGAATACAAACTTACAAATACAAAATTAAATGTAAAGACTTTGGAAGGAACCCATGAAAATAAGGGCCCCCCAATACTGAGCCTAAGGGATCCTCCCACTTCAGCTTCCTGATGGGTAGCCAGCATTACAGATGTTCACCACCATGTGTGACTGGGGTATGGGTGAGCTAATCTTAAAATCAATGAAATGAACTATTTGCAGATCTCAGAATTGGCCATGCATATTCTTCCTTTGCTCTCAAAACGCTTATTCTTTCCTCCCCCTCCCCCTCCCCCTAATTTCTAGGTAAGTGTAAGGATTCATCTCTGAAGCTTCCTCCTCCAGGAAGCATCCCTGGATGTGTCCTAACCTTTAGGAAGTTGTTTCTTTCATAGCATCCAATATATTTCTGTATGGGAGCCCTCCTGTCCCTGTGTAAGTATCTGTTCACTGGTCCATCTATCCTGCTTGTTAGCAAAGGAATGTCACCTAACTGATGTTTGTGCCACAAGAACCTGGTTGTCACATTTGGGATGAACAAATGAATGAAAGAGGTTCTTCTCTATGAGATTACTTGGCAGCACTAAGGATACTAGGGATGAAAAAAAGTTTAATTCTCACAGCAAGAGGAAGAATGGGCTGGGCACTGTGGTGTATACTTATAATCCCAGCATTTTGGGAGACTGAGGCAGGAGGATTGCAAGTTCAAGGCCAGCCTCAGCTATTTGGCGAGCCTTAAGCAAGTTAGTGAGACCCTATCTCAAAATAAAAAATAAAAGACTGGGGATGTGGCTCAGTGGTTAAGCACCCTGAGTTCAATCCCCACTACTCCTATACCCAAAWAGGAAGAAAGGCCCTTCTTTATCTGTAACTGATCTAGTTTTGCTCTTGAAACAACACTGTACTGAATAGTAGTAGAGGAGGAAAAAAAAAGGACAATAGGAATTAACATTTATCAATTGAAACTATCTTAGTCTCCTCTAATTTAATCGACTCTTAGGAATCTGATGTATTTTAAGAAAATTCTTAGTTTCTTCTCCTTCTTCTCTTGCTCCTTCCTCCCTAAGGTAATATCTGATTGCATAAAATGTTCATGGGATCTCAGATGGAGGGGGCAGGAAATGAGACCTCATATCTGCATGATGCCTGTAGTTCTTCACTAAGTAGAAGAAGTTTTCATCTGGCCTTTGGTGGCCCCAGGCCAGACCCACTGCTGAAATCCTGGATTTTAGCCACTTACCTCTGGCTGTAAATCCTTCATAAGCTATGGCCTCTTAGCTTTGCTGGGTACCAGACTGTTCACAATCTCCATTTTTACTTATTGGGGGAACATATGAATATGGAGATTCTCCTACACCACGTGCAGTCTACTGAGAACCATCAGTTATCTCAGGATACCAAATTAAACCACTTCTGCCACAGAATGTCACTGCCCAGGACCAAATTCAAGGGTCCTCTACCTTCTTACAGGGAAAGTAGACTATCAGCTTCATTTTCTTTAGGTTCTCCACTACCCTACCTTAGGATCTTCTCTCCTCTTTCCCCTTGGCAGGTACAATTCTGTTCTTATTCTATCTGCTTCTCTTCATGCTCCACCAGATCAAAAGTGAAAGGCTTTTCCTTGCCATTGACTTTCCTTATGTTGTAGCCTCTTTCATGTTATCAATGTCTGTTTTTTCTTTCTTTCTTTTTTTTTTTCAATCTAGGGATTGAACCCTAGATCTCCTGTATTCTACCACTGAGCTACATCACCAGCCCCTGAAATTTAAAAATTTCATAAAACCTTTCTTAACTGTGTCTGGCTTTTTCAAGATAATTGTGTTTCTTGAGATTAAAAAATCTTATTTTTGAAGTCAAAAGCTCTCTCTCTCTCTCTCTCTCTCTCTCTCTCTCTCTCTCTCTCTTTTGTATTCTTTTTATTTATCTCTATTTATCTTTTGAGACTGATAAGTGCTTCTGGATGACCAAGGAGAAAGTCCCATAAAAGAATGCAAGAATATTAGCATGTTTTTAAAAATTATTATCTCCATGATATATTTTTCTTGAAACTGACAACTTTTTCATTCATATGGCCTTTTTACATCTCACATTCTTTCTTAGAAGGCAATCTACCTCAATTTTGAAAATATCAATAGATAGGAATATAATGGGTCATAACTTTGAGGTCCAAACATTGAGACAATCACTACACAATGGAACTGAATGTACCAATTTGGCTTTTGATGCCATAGGTGACAGGAATTGTGAAAAATTGTCACTTTCACAGAACCTAACAGTTTAGTCCTTTATAGACTGAACTTTCAAATTGCTCTAGTAAAAAACTACAACAACAAACTCTCATGGTCTTAGATGCTGAGCATCKGTTGCCCAAGCCGTAGGAGGCTACTTTGTGGCCCAAAACCTAAGAAATTCATCTAGAACAGTGGTTCTCATTTGGGAGTGATCTTCTCTTCAACTCAGTATTTGGTAATGTCTGGAGACAATTTTGCATGTTGAAACTGGGAAAGAAGAGTCTACTGGTCTTTGGTGGGTAGAGGCTGGGAATGCTGCTAACCTTCCTACAATCCAGAGTGCACTAACCCACAACCAAGAATTGACCTAGCCCAAATATCAATATTGCTGAGACCGAGAAACTGTAACACAGAAATCTGTATTGGCTCTAGGCTCTTCTCACCAAACCACTGAATCCACCTTCATCCAAGTCATGTCTTCCCCTAGATTACTACAATAACATTCTTAAGAATTTTCTGGATTCTGCTTCTGCCCTCCACAGTCTATTTTGTTTTACACTTTAAAAAACGGAATCTTTAATTTACATATAGTAAGATCCACCTATTTTGTGTAAGTTCTCTGAATTTTAATAGATGTAGAGAGGTCTGTAATAGCATCCTAATCAGGATAGAAAATGGCACCTCAGTTTTCAAAGTACAATTAGGCAGTGGCCCATAAGAGTGCCCATTTAAACATCAATCATCATTCAACCATACTTCAGTAAATAAATATTATTGGGTAAAGAAATGTATTAACCAGCTTCCTGTGATCCCAGCAGCTCAGAGGCTGAGACAGAAGGATCTGAGTTCAAAGCCAGCTGCAGCAATTTAGCGAGGCCTTAGGCTACTTAGTGAGACCCTGTGTCTAAATACATTTTCAAAAGGGCTGCGGAAGTGGTTCAGTGGTAAAGCGTTCCTGGGTTCAGTTCATGTTACCAAAAAAAAAAAAAAAAAAAAAAAAAAAAATTATTAACCAAGCCCTGGAAGAAGGGAGTAGAATGGTGGGCCAGGGTGTGTCAGAGGTGGAATTCTGCAGAGTGTTGGAGGAAGGAGGGTGTGCCTAGATTAGAGGGAGATTAAATTTGGGAGGTAAGCTGTGACCAATGTACACATTTACCAATAAAATCATTGACTCAATATTGTCACTTTGAAATTGCTCTCAAAGGTTGAAGTTTAAGGATATCAAGATCTGGCGCACGCTTGAAGCCAGACTGAGCAGTGGGCGCTCGCGTTCTAGTTAATTTTGAGCCGCGCCTCCCGCCGTCGGCTGTCACGTGCCGAGCAGCTGCGACCTCGCTGATAGGTGGGGGCGGCTCTGCTGGGCGCCGGGGCAGGAAGGGAGGCGGCTGCCGTGCCATTCTTAAAGGGGCACGAGAGAAGGCGAGGGGTTGCTGCCGGCCGGAAGGAAAATGGTGAGTTGCGGTGGGGAGAGCAGGGCCCAGAAGGCTGGGCCAGCCCGCCGGTCTTAACTGTTTTCTACAATCAGTCGCTGCAGACAGCGGCCGCTTCCACCCCAGCTGCATGCGGTTGCTCCCACTCAGAAACTTGGCCTCCGCAGCCTCTACTGCCGCGCGTAGCGTAGCATCCTCCATCCTGCCCCGGGGTCGACCCGCCTTGCAGCCACAGTCGGCAGAGGCCCCTCTTCGCCGGGCCCCTCCCGTTGGAGGGCTCCAGCTCCTGAGCTGAAGGTCGGAGGGGCAGGAGGTCTGGCCCTGCAGCAGGCTCCCCAACGCCAGCGTTTCTTCGACGGCGGCTGGGGAGGGCCAGGCCTAAGGAGCTCTTGAGCCCCCTGTACCTTCTGCCTTGCGGCGTTTGCAAGGAGGTCTCGAATCTGATTACATTCTCTCGGCCTTGCCTTAGCTTCTTTCTGTCTTCCCCTTCCCCTATCTTACACTGAACATTTCTCCTTATGCATGCAATTCTCCGATTTAAGGCTATGGAAAATCTTTTGACCCAAGGCTCTGGCGCTTGACCGTAAAGTAACTGTCAGAAATTTCGTTTTGTTRAATAAGGGGACGATGGCTCCCTCCAAGCATAAAAATTAAGTGGAGAATTAAATGAATTGCCATCAAGGATCTTCTGGATCCTTCCTATTGGGTTTTTAAATAAGCTCAAGTTTCATTAGAAATAACATCAGAAAAACACTGCTGTCTCTCCGACCTCCCACTCTTTGTCACCACCCACTCTATCGAGTAGATCTTGTCATGGTCACTGAATCCAATGGATTCTTTTCAGTTTTTATCTTTTCTGACCTTTCAGCTGCATTCCAGGGTGTTGACATTCTCCAGTTTTTGAAGTATTTTCTTCCCTTATGCTTTTTTCTTGTGTTATGGAATACAGAACTCTTGGTTTTCTTCCTGTTTCTCCTCTTGGTCTATCTGCATATTATCCTTTCCCTGGACAGTAGTTACATGTAGGAGTCCCAGACTCCATTGTAATCTTTACTTTTCTATTCTGTATCCTTTCTCCTACATTCATGGCTTCAAGTATCACCTATATTCAGATGATTTGTGAACTTGTATCTGAGACCTTGCTTCTGAGATCCAGTCCAGATATTATATTCCGCTTAGTTTTTAACATCCCTGGAAACTTTTCACCATTTTGGTGCCTCAAAGTCTCCTCAGTTTGTCTAGAAGGAACTCCTCTTGTTATTTTGCCTCAAATCTGGTCTTGACTCACTGTTTGGCAACTCAGTGAYGTTGGGCCCTTCAGTATGTTATACAAACCAGAAGCTTAGGAGACATTTTAATAACCCTTTTTTCCCTTACCCATTTCATTTACCTCATACCCAATCCATTCATCAGCTCCTTTGTAATGATTAAGAGAGTGGGCCAAAGGTCAGGCTGCCTAGGTTGAATCCTGGCCCCATTAGCTGCATAATTTGGCGGAATATACTTAAATCTGTCCTAGCCTTACTTTCTTGCAAAACTGGAAATAACTACTCATTTCATGAAATTGTGTCTAGCATGAAGAGAAATCTGTGTAAAGGATATGACAGTGATTCTCATGGTGTTTAATACATGTTAACAGTTATTAGCATTATTCACTTCTCTTTACTCTTTTCAGTTTCTTTGAACTACTTTTTCTCTCTCATTAGGACTAGTCTTGACTGTTAACTAGGTTTGTTGTAATCATCCTGGCTCTCAGCCTGTTTCCTGCATACCACAGCAAATGTGATCTTTTCAAATTGCAAATATAATTGTGTTTTCCTTCCCTATCCTACTTAAAATACCTTATTGGTTTCCCTTTACTTATGAGATAGAAAGCAAAATACTTAATATGACCCAATTCTTCCTGGAGCATGTTCCTGCTCATTGTCTGTGCTTGAGTTCATTTGAATCAGGTCTTTGCACAGGTAGTTTTAGTCCTCCAGATGCTTTTTCAGGGAATCATCCTATCACCATAGTATTCTTCACCAGTCACAGGTTCTCATAGTCTTGTGTATCTCTCCTTTCTAGCTCTTGTACAAGTGTACATATTTTTGCCTGACCCTTTGGTGTAGGTTCCTTCTCTCCTAGATTGTGATATAAGCTACCTGAGGAAAGGGATGATATCTTTCATTTCCTTTTTACATGATTATATTTCTAGCATATAGCACAGTACTGCACTAATTTAATATTCATTATATGGATAAACAAATAAATGAACACTTTACCTCAACTCTCCACTTTAGTTTGTTCGGTAACATTTACCATATAATTTTTTTTAATGACATTTTACTCCTTTGTAAATGCTTCTACTAAGTGTAAGCAGTTAGAGTTGGCCAAGCCTCAGTCCTCCTTGTAGAAAGGAATTTTGGGCCTTATTGTGGTTTTGAGAAGGGCAAAAACACAAAAATGAGTTATACAGGTTAAATCAGCATATTTTTTAGTATGTTAAGCTTACACAAGCAGCTCTGAGCATCAGAACTGGAGGATAAAACTTTCACAATAAATTGATCTTTGCCTAAACAAAAATCTGAAGTGTTTATTAGTTTCATTAATGGATTCTGCCTTTGGTCAAAGAGAGAATAGAAATTTTTGTTTTCTGGTTTTTGTGATCTTTCTTGAAAGAGAAAATAATAATGAAGTAGGATTAAATCTTATCTTCAGGAAGCTCCCAATGACTTAGCATCTCTGAAGAGAATGAAAAGGTTGGAAATCCATAATCCCCGCGTGATTGTTATTTATTGGATAATATACTTTGATGGGATGTACTTTCCAATTGTATTTTAACATATCCTRTGGTATATATCATACCTTATGATTTACCATTGTTCTGAATTTAAAGGGCAGTTAAAATTGAAAGCCATTTTCTGCTTTAGCATATGCTGTCTTTTACCCAATACAGGATCAAGCAAACAGGCTCTTATTATTATTTTTTTATTTTACTGTAAAATTGGAACCTTTAATGCTTTGGGGTTATGATGAGATGTGTATTTAACATTTCAAGGAGGAGGAAGGGAGGGGGAAAACCTATATATGAAATGAGACTAAAGTGAATGGACCTTGTATGGAACCTGACTCAATTAAACCAACTATTAAAAAAATTAAAACAAAGAGGGAATTTGAAGACTATTTGGATATTGGAGTCTGGAATTATTGTCTTTTTTTTTTTTTTTTTAGGTAGGATAATGTTGCTGTCTATTTATTTATTTGGTACCAGGGATTGAACCCAGGGGTACTTAACCACAGAGACACATCCCCAGCCCTTTTCTGAATATTTTTTTATTTTGAGACAGGTTCTCACTAAGTTGCTTATGGCCTTGTTAAGTTACTGAGGCTGTCTTTGAAAACTCATTTCCAAGTGAAATTACTTTTGGCCTTTGTTGTGTCATAGGTTRCAGGGGCATTGTTGAGGGTATTGAATGAAATATAGTTTAATGATTGAAACTGAGTGGTATACATAGGTGTCACTGTCCTGCTTTGTCCTTTTATATGTGTTTGATATTTTACATATTAAAAACAAAAATATTTTTTCACTATCATTTGCAGTAATGCATTGTACCACTGAAAGAAGAGTGAGTGCCTTTGATCATTTCCTGGCCAGATTTCTGAGCAAGTTTCTCTAATATTTCTTCATAATTTCTAAACAGTTCTTTAAAATTTTATTTTTGTTTCATCTGGTTTTGCTTTTGCATCTTATTAGCTCATTTTACATGTTCATAGTCAATTAAGATATAAAATGTTATTCATCTTTCTTCTTAGAACTTGTGTTTATACTTTTGTTATTTTTATTTTAAAAAATGATTTATAAGATATTTTCCTGTTCTTCCTGCACAGTGTGAAAACATGATGCTTGCCTTATCTAAAAGCACATGGTGACCCTTGACTTTTCCTGTTTCCCTCCCTTCCTCTACAGTTCTGATGAGATACATATTGTGATGTTTCTGATTTTTTTCCCCCACTTTAGTACTGGGGATTAAACCCAGGGTCACTCTACCACTGAGCTACATCCCAGCCCTTTTTATTTTTTTATCTTGAGACAGGGTCTTGCTAATTTGCCTAGGCTGGCCTCAAATTGTGATCCTCCTGCTTCAGCCTCTCAAGGCACTGGGATTACAGGAATACACCATTGCACCTGGCTTTGTTTCTGATTTTTTAAAATTTATCAACCACAGACACTGTTAAAATATATCCTACATAGAAGGTGAACAAAAGTGTATAATTAAACAATATAAATCCAAAGATGGGTGAATTTGAAAGTCTTTAACATACATTTATTGAGGTCATGGCATTTTATTTTTTTTTCCTCTTTTATAGAGCGAGTCTTTGGTGGTTTGTGATGTTGCTGAAGATTTAGTGGAAAAGCTGAGAAAGTTTCGTTTTCGCAAAGAAACGAACAATGCTGCCATTATAAGTAAGCTAAAAGTGATTGCTTCCAAGTTACATGATCTTAGCTTGTTTTTATCTTATAGCTGTGTTGAATAAACTGAACCTTTAGAAAGTAGTGTTGCTTCATTTGTTACATCCCTTACCCCTACCTTTAAAAATTAAGAAATAGCCAATCGTACACAGCTCTGGAGAAGATGATCTTCTTGTTCACTTGGGGAATGAGGATTCTCATGTGTAGTGACTGGTCTCTCCATCCTTCTTGGGAAACTAAAAGCCTGGAAGAAATCTGTGCCTATACCTAGAATGATAAAGTTCATTATTGTGTCCAGAGTGGCTTTGGGCACTATTCCAATTCTAGAACTGAATTCTAGTTTCATGGAGAGTGCTTTTAAGTGTGAATATCTTCTGTCAATGGAAAGGATAATTCACAGACTGCCTCTCCACTGTGAGCTATATGTGAAGTTGTGCAGAGTTCCTTGTATTCATCCGTAATATTTAATATGTAGTTAATGATTTAGAAAGGTAAAAGGTGTGAAAATGTAGAACTATATAGACTATGCTTAACAGAGATGCACTTGGCAGGTGTGAATTAATCAGAAGTGGTGATACCTTGTCATTAATTCTGGTCTGTTACAAATAATTTCTGTAATGTGAGCATACAATTCTTAAAAGCGAATGTGTATATTAGTACTATTTTACCACAAAAGGTGAAGTGATTTTTGAGACCACGTTGTATTTCATAGGATTTGCTGTGAAATTCATGCAAAACCACACATAACTAGCTCTTCAGACTAGTTAAAAAAAATAAAAGTATAAGTTATCTAAACGTATTTTGATTTGACTTTTGATTATGTCAGATGTATTTTAATATGGATATCAGTGCTATTTTATAGTTTACTTTCCCAGACTAATGATAATGCAGCATGAAATCCTGACTCTGGAGAAGCTGGTTTCTCTTTCCTGACCTGACCCCAGGTCCACTCTTCCTTGCAGTTCTAACCACCCTGCCCATAGACCAGTCACATTTACCTTTGGACCTTATCTAGGAAGTTGTGTTTGAGTTACAGAATTCTTCACATACACAGTAAATGTAAAGAGTTGACATAAGTTCTAAATAAGCAAACTAGATGTTGAAAATTGTGGGTAAAGTGTAAAAGCTAACTGCTTAAAAAGCAAAGCTACCAAATAGACCATAAACTAAAACTATGAATGAGTTTTATGCTTGTGTTTCTCAGTGTTTAAATTTTAAATGCCCCAAGAATGRTTGAGAATGCATGCATTGGTTAGATCAAGGTCACATTAGAATCACAATTTACTCATATTGTATTTTTATTTTAGTGAAGATTGACAAGGATAAACGCCTGGTGGTACTGGATGAGGAACTTGAGGTTTGTTCAATAAGCTAAATACAATTTTTATAGTAAAACAATTACTATCATTCAAAAGATACTTTATATTAGTTACACATACCTCTAAAACAAGTTCTAAACCTCCTTTAAGTACATACTCATTGTGCATGAAAAGCATGGATTAATTATTGTGTATTGCATTTTCTAGCTAATTTAACTGTCTTTAAGGCATTAATGGAATCCCTTTTAATAAGGGGTAGAAGTTATGTCCAGTAAAAAGTGAGTCAGCTTAAGGTAATAATTCAAGCATTTAGTTACTAAGTAATTTAGAGTGAAATGAATTAACTTGTTTTTCTAAAATGAGATATTTCCTCTGAGGGGTTAGCTTATCCTGACAGTTGGAACATAAACAGAACACTATGTCTCACAGCCCCATGTTTAGCTATTAATTGAAAGTAAATTGTTTTGTGGCATGTGCTAATGARTTAATAACTATTATTAGAATGGGCTTAGCATATCTCCTAAAGACTTATGGGAAAGGAAATGTTTAAAAGTTGTTTTTCTCTACGGTACTAGGGCATTTCACCAGATGAACTTAAAGATGAACTACCAGAACGACAACCTCGATATCCTTTTCTTAATGCTTTGGAGTGATTTTGTTTTCTTTAGTGGTCAGAATTTCATTGTAAAGAGCTCATTTGTTAAACTTTCAAAAGATATGTTTTACCAGAATTCCTTCTATATCATGATCAAAACGGAATTAAAATATKTCTGTACAGATCGGACTTTAAGAAAAATGAAAAAGTTGATGTCTTAGTGGGGTGAATTATTTTCTTTTAAAAATAATTCTCTATTATAATGTATGTACAATAGAAATTAAGAAAGAAAAATCTATATCAAATCCATACTTTAATAAATTTCTTTTTGACAAATTACATGATTTTTTAAACTTACCTTTGAGACCCATTTATTATTTTGTAGAAAGACAATAATGAAAGTGTGACCTAAATTAATAAAGTATTAATTTGCCACTCAGTAGCTCCCCTGGTGTTGGTAAGTACCTGTCTCAGAGCAGTGACTTTAGTTTCTTTAACTTGAGAAAAACCTTCATTGTATATAGTTATAAATATCAACATGATGATGGAAGAGTTTCATATCCTCTGTGCTTTATTTTCTCCAGTCCTGTTGGTAAGTAAATTTCTTTAAATAATGTATATTTGCCTCTGATCTAACTAATCCATCTTTTTTTTTTTTTGGTACTGGGAATTGAACTCAGGGGCACTTGACCACTGAGCAGCATCTCCAGCCCTATTTTGTATTTTATTTAGAGACAGGTTTCAGTGAGTTGTTTTTTGCCACACTTTTTGTTGAGCCTGGCTTTGAACTCACAATCCTCCTGCCTCAGCCTCCCAAGCCGCTGGTATTACAGGCATGTGCCACTGCATCCAGCCTTAAWCCATCTTTTATTAGACAGATTTTATGCTTTTTTAAAAAGATTAAATTGTTGAGTAACCTAAATTAAGGTGTGTGTGTGTTTGCATACACCTCTGTGCATACCTAGAAAGAAGGTGTTACAAAACATCTTCTCTAAGAATGTGTTTACTTTCTGAGGATGAATTCCTAGAAGTATAATTGTTGGGTCAAACCTTACATGTATTTTAATAATTATGGCATATAATGACACTTTTTAGATATCAGAAGTTTATTTTAATCTTGTTTATAAGTATGTGAACTTTGTGTGGTAATAATAAAATATTTTAAAAAACCGAAAAAATAATAGTATATTTATGTTTATCTTTTAAATAATAGTCAGCAGTGATATACCTATCACCTTGAAAGTGATCCTGGAGTAGCTTACATTGGATATTAAAATGGATTGGGCTGGGGTTGTGGCTCACTGGTAGAGTGCTTTTCTCACACATGTGAGGCACTGAGTTCAGTCCTCAACACCACATAAAGATAAATTGATTAATTAAAGGTATTTTGTCCATCTACAATTAAAATTTTTTTTTTTTTTTAATGGAATGGGGGCTGAGGATGTGGCTCAAGTGGTAACACGCTCGCCTGGCATGCGCAGGTTGCTAGGTTCGATCCTCAGCACCACATAAAAATAAAATAACGATGTTGTGTCCACCGAGAACTAAAAAATAAATATTAAAAAAAATTCTCTCTCTCTCGCTTTAAAAAAAAAAAAAATGGATTGGGCTGGGGATGCGGCTTAATGGTACAGTACTGGCCTAGTGTGTGCCAGGCCCTAGATTCCATCCATAGTATTGCAAAATAATAAATAAATGAATAGTATTTAAGAAATTCATTATCATCTGAATTTTTCCATTATTATTGAGTTCTTTTCTAATCTTGATTATTTGTATTTTTAACCTCTAAAATATACTATATTTTTAACCTAATATATAACCAGACAATAATTCACCATTTCAAAATTTATGTATTTAAAGCATCCATAAAATTGATCTTGATATTTAGTGTCAAACTTAAGAAATAGTGCTAAACACTATTTGTAAGTATTTGCAAAGCTCTAAAAGTCAAGATCTACAAAGGTGTACAATCATTTTTTTTGCTTATATGTGGGCTTATTTATAGCTGTGTCTGTGCAGGCAGTATGAAAAATAAGATTCAAAATATAGCCCATGTACATTTAGAAGACACTTTTTCTCAATTCAAAAGTTAAGGAAATACTAAGTGTGTAATTTTTTAAAATAAAAGTAATGAAAATTCACCATTTTTTTCAAAGTCTACACTTCATTTCTATACTAATCTCTCTTTTCCAGGATGTAAGCCTGAACAACAGATGATGTATGCGGGGAGTAAGAATAAGTTAGTCCAAACAGCTGAACTAACCAAGGTAGTATTTATATTTGATTTGTTTGTTGATGGTATACTTTCCTTTAGAGTATAGACAATAACTAAAGCAGTCTAGATAGTTAAGTATTTTCTATGCAGTTGAGGGTTATTTTGATCACAGCTGTAAATTAGCAAAACGTTTATTATTTTTAAATAGAATGATAGTGGTCTTTTTTTTAAATTTGAACTTTATGATTATACATAATAGTGGGTTCATCTCTACAAATTCATACATGCATGGAAATCAATTTCAGTTCATGATGCCCTCTTTTCCCTTCTGCCTCACCCCTCACTCCCCTTCTCCTTCCTCTACTATACTAGATTTGCTTTTGCTCATCTATTAATTTGTATTGGATTGGTTCTTTATGTAATAGAATGATAGTAGTTTTTAAACCAAAATGTGTTTTTTGTTCAATAAGTTGAATACAAGAGATCATATTCAGAATGTGAACAATTTTAGAAAATCCAGTGGAACTATTAAGTTTATTGCAAGCTCTTTATCTTCCATAAAGTAATGTCTAATAGGTAAAGATCATCATTCAGGTTTCTGTGCTGGAATTCTGTATTGTGTAGCTAACTGTATATGAGACACTTGCTTTAATATATAATATATCTCCATTCTTTTATGGTATTTTTGAAGCTTAAAGGTAAGGTGTACTTGTCTCAAACTTGATTTAGTTTCCACATACTATTTTGAGTTGTAAAAGTATATACATTTAATCTATGAAATAGAATATTGTATCATCAAGACCATATTTAACAATATTTTCTTTCTGATTTTATTTAAATGACAGTATCAGTGTTTCCCCCTGGGTGCTTAAGCATTAATTTTGGGATTGTCTTTAAGTGCCATCTGCTTTTTCTCTCCAGCCCTTATGATTATCATTGATACTACCAATTTATAGACACAATTTTTGTTTTTTCCTAACTTCTATGCTGGGAACATTCTGGAGTTGCTGTAAGGGGTTGGATGGTTAAGGAGGAACTCTGTAGAGTGCTTGTCTAGAATGTGCGAAGCCCTGGGTTTGATCCTCAGCACTGTAAAATGTGAAACAAAACTAAGAGAAAAAAAAAACCAACAAATTCTGTTAGTAGCCTTAGTCTTAARTTTTTTATAATCCTTTGTGTGTTCTAAAGTGCTACAGTTGAGACATTACAATTTACAAGTTATTTTTATAAATACTCTATTCAAATCCTTATAGCCCTGTGTGGCTAATTAGTATTTCTATTTTATAAATAAGAAAAACAGGTTCAGAGGCTGAATGCTTTGCCTAGGGTTGCCAGGATTCAAACTCACATCTGATCCATAATCCCATCCATTCTGCTGTAATATATTGTCTCTCCATAGCCATTATACTTTCTGGGCCTGTGTTAATTCAAAATTCTTGCTATGGACCTCCCTTCTATTCTTATCAAAACAATCTACAACTGTTATTTCCATTTGCCAAATTATGGAGGACTCATGGTATGTTCTTCCAGTTCATGACTGATTTTAGTTGTGTGTACTAAAATGCGTGTCTCTTCTAATGAGTAAGTTTTATAGAACTGCTATTTTACAGTGTTTGTCTTCTCTCATCTTGATTGCTATACTGAATACTTAGTTTTTAAAAGAAATTAAGTACTGCTAAAAAATATGTCTAATTTGCCAGGCTCCAAGACACATACCTGTAATCCCAGTGATTTGGGAGACTGAGACAGGAGGATCACAAGTTCAAAGCCAGCCTCAGCAATAGGGCTGGGAATGTGGCTCAGTGRTCAAGTGCCCCTGAATTCAATCCCTGGTACACACTCCCCACCCCCGCAAAAAAAAAAAAAAAAAAGTATATCTAATTTATGTAGGTTAAGTCATGACCAATATGAAGGAAGCAAAATTTGGTATTTAATATAATACTCAGATATATAATGTATATTGTGTAAATGTCAGAAATGTGACTTATGGTTTTTTTCTTAAGGTATTCGAAATAAGAAATACTGAAGACCTAACTGAAGAATGGTTACGTGAGAAACTTGGGTTTTTCCACTAATGTGAACTTCTGTGTTTTTAAAGTATTTATGTATTAACCTGACTATACTGGAACCAGACATAAATACTTATTTATGCCTAAAAAATGCACTGTTACTTACAGTTTGTTTCCTGCAGTAAAGAAAAATTCTTCATTTGTGCAAAGTTTGAACAAAGAGGAAATCATCTTCATAGTAATGAAACTTTGTAAAGTGTTTCCTTATATTTGTAATTGTTAGGTGGGCTACTTTTCTCCAAGGACTTTTTGCACTCTTGTGACTAATTTCTATAACTTATGGTTCAGAATTTGTTACTATTTACAGACACCATTGGAAAGTGGGTATTAGATTGTGCTAGACAACAGTTGCCTCCTTTTGACAAATACTGGATATTAGCAATTTATATATGAAAATAGCATATTATCACTTGTCAAAGCATTGAAATTAATTTGGGGTTAAAAACTTGAGTGACCTAATTTTGAGCCATGAATAGTAATTTACTGTAGTGTAATCTACATTTCAAGTACATTTTTCATCAATTTTGTACCTCTTGATTTCCTATATCTTTTTAATCAAGTCTAGAAACTATGTTCATCAATCATTCATTTTTAAGGTCTAGGAGTTAGATTTTTTGATAGAGTTATGACTCTTAGGTTTCTTCTTATGGAAAATAGCATCTTGGTCTTCACAGTTGTTAGGTTGTAATAATCAAGGGCTTCATTCCCCATTGTCATTTCTAGATAGTTTTGAATCTAGGTTAATAACACTTCATTTATAAGGCACCTCCTAATGTCTTGTGAACACTAATTATTTTAAGTGTGTTAATACTGTGCCTTTGATTTGTTAGCTTTAAAGTTAGTTTAGAACTTTTACACTGCCAGTATTCTAGATTTGGTGAAATTAATACTTTTTTAAAGGGTCCAAATAAAACAATTTTCTAATGTGTTTATCTAAAATTTGTAATAAAATCAACTTCTTATTTTTAAAATTCCAACTATCTGCTTGCATTGGTGAAAATATGGCAGTTGAGAGTTGTAATTTTGGGTATATTTGTGACTAGTTTTGTGCCATATGTAAAAGTTGCTTATCTTAAAACTTTGGTTATACTTAATAACCCATCAACAGAAATCACATTTTTAATCCCAAATGTCAGAAGATAGTCTAAACTGGTCATCTGTTTGGTTAACCAAGCCAGTCATGTTTAAAAAAAAAAAAAAAAAAAGGGAACCCTTGGATAAAGCAAGAATCATAATATGTGTAGCATACTTTAAAAACAAACATAAGTTACTGCTGAATGGTAATTTAATAAAAGATCTAGAGACTCAAGAAGCTTAACCAAATTTGGTGAGTAGATTCTTATATTAAGAATAGCATAGTCATTTCAAGATTAGCAAAGGCATTCTTTTTATGTTGGCATATTTTCTATTCATATTATTTTTTGCATTTTATTTTTGAGAGTTCTGTGCCAACTTTAACAAAGAGAGAAAGATAGTTGGAATTTTTACAATATTGAATAGAGCATCTTCTTTCCCAACTGTTTGGCTTCACTAATCTAGAAGTCAGGAAGCATTGACAAGTTGGAAATGGGAAAGTGTTAGAGTAGGTATTTGTTTTGGTTAATAAATGGAACAGTTCCTTTATTTCAGTTTTCAGAGAGAGAAAACTTCATACAGGAAGTTTAAGAATTCTTTAAACAGCTATTTTGGTATCGAGTAACTTAACTAATAATTCTCCAGAAATGCAAACGAAATCCAAATGAATAGAGAGTGGTTTTAATTTTTTTAAGAGGGAGGTGAGATTTTGTTTTATCTGGTTTGCATCAGTAAGAAACACTAGTGCTGCAAGAATGTATTTTTTAAAATAAGGTTCCTTGTTTCATTTTTAAGATTTTAGCCTAATTTTTTAAAAAAAATATGGAAGTCCTCCATAATCTCAGATAATATTGACCTTCCATACACAGAACTCTTAGTTCTTTTAGTTTCTAACAGGAGCAAAGAGCTGTGATAAACTGTGCTGCTTTGAGCCTGTCTTTCTCCTTGTTAATAACATGTATTTCTCAAGACAACAGGTTGACGTTAGGAGAGCAGTAGAACATTTTTTATTCTGTCTATCCAATAGGGTCATTACAAATTCCATGCTCTAAAATTTTCTCAGATATTTCTATGTTTCCCTTTAACTAAATTTTGCATTTTTCTTTTAAAGTACATTTCCTTTTCTTTTTTCTGTCTTCCTACAAATAGTTACTACAGATTTCATAATTCCAGTTCTTACATTCCGTATCTTTCTGGTATAGCCATTCCCATTCAGCCTTAAATCTTAATCTTTCCTTTTTGGCAGCAACTTTTTCCTGGGAACCTCCTTCATGGTGTTCTAAGTCAGCATTAGTTTTGAAATTATTGGCCTTGCATAAGTTCTGCATAGCATCTTATGTCAAAATAGAAACAACTAGTAATCACAGTATGGTTTTTGTGGCAACATAATGACATATGAAGAAAATTGTTCTCAGGTTACTATGCTGAAATTCCAAAATGTCTTGAGTTTTGAATAGTATTCACTTTGTTCTGGTATTAAAGAATTATGTTAGGAAAAATAGTTGGTTGACTGACTGTTTTTGTTTAATTCACTTCTAAAATAAATGTTTGAATTGTCTATTTCAAAAAGTTTACTAAATGCCTGGTGCAGTTAAACATACTCTTGTTTAAGAGGGTGTTGCTAAATTTTTATTGTCATTGAAGAATCTGTGTAGCAAAATGTCAGCACTTTCCCTCCCTTTTTATCTCCTATTTTCAGGAGTTAAACGTAGCCATAAACTGTATCCTGGTCTGACACTTTAACTAAATGTTTCCAGTTAGGGGAATTTATGGCCAAATTAAATTTGGCTTTTTCCCCTAACCCATRCAAATATTAAGGAAGGTGTACTTTAAAAAAAAAATGTACGGACTACTTTTTAAACTCAAGTAATGTCATTAATCCATATGTGGACTAGTGATGAATAGATATTTTCATAAGAGTTTAAATGCTGATATTTGGTGGAAGTAGAGAATAACTCATATTCTATCAATTCAAGTACTCTTGGTATGGTTGCACTCCCTATTTGTTTAATAGACTGGTAATACTGGAATCTATGAAGTTTTAAACCTTTACAATTTATGTGAAGAAGTGTTTCAAACATTTCAGGACAAATCTTATTTTGTATTTCTGGAAGAATGTAAATAATCTTCTAGGCCACATAAAACCAATGGTCCCAAGTTGAATATCCTTGAGAAACTTGTTTCCTGTTAGGCCATTTGACATTTCAAATCAATGATCACATTCCTGTAATGTGTAAAACAACTACATTAAGCTTGTGATAGAAACTGTATTTTCTTGCTTTATGGAGTATAATTCATACACATCTAATTACTTGAATATTATTTGAGATCACTAACATGCCAGGGCAATTCCCACTTATTTAGATGGTCCAATATAATCTCATTCAGGAGGCTTGAAACATTAATGGTTTAGTCTTGTGAATTTTAACAGTTCTCTGTCAACGTTTAATCAAACCAACAATTGGCACAACTTCTTAACCTGTGGTTTCAGTCTCTGCTAGTTCATACTGCATGTTTATTTTGGACAGTCTTTTGTTAAGCATGGTGCTTGTACTGGTTTAAATAAAACATTAACATGAAAGTACTTCTAGTTTTTCATTTTTTACTTGCCTCTTACACCCCTTTGGTGTTACTGATACCTACCTTGCTCAACTTGTTTAAACTGCACATTGTCTCAACAGTTTACTGTATCTGGGGAAAACTGAGAAACAAACAGAAATCACTTGCCAATTTATGAAAATTTGCAAAACTCAAAGACTGATGCTAAAATGATTGGTTTGAAAAAAAATGTTAATGAGTGCTATTGGTACAGAGAGAGTTGTTTGAAATTATGCATCTTTACTTTGAAAGGGAGAATTAGAAGTCAGGTCTGTGTACTTGCTAAGCAATCAGATTAAAGGGTCTGTTATTGAATATAGATTATAACTATTTAAACATCCATTCAATACTCATCTTTTTTACAGACTGCACTACATGGTATATGTTTATTAGGTGTCTATTAGAATGAATGCAAATCACTACTTACATGTTTTTAGAGTTTACCAAATACTCTTTGTGATTAAATATGTAGTAATAGTCACAATTGATTTTGGTTGTGAAAGGAGTAGTTTATGCATTCCTATGTGTAGTAGAAAGGAGTAGTTTATGCGTTCTGGAGAATTGTCAGAATCCGGAAATCTTTATATCTTCCTTATTTCTCAAATTTGGCCATTTTACTACTGAAACAGCCAGCTTCTAAATTTATTTCAGCTTCACTAAAAACTATACATTTTTTTGTCCTTTTTACTCTTTGGCAGTGAAAAGCATTTGTAAGCATTTAACCTCACAATATGGGCCAATTCATTTGCATGAGGAAAACCCTGAGTGGATATTATATTCTTATACAGTACATTTTTAACCATGTCAGATTAAAGACCTTTTTGCTGAGCATCAGGGAGTTTTCAAACAGAAAGTTCTCTCATTCTTCACTTCTTGAGATCTGCCCGTAGTCTTCATGAAAGTTTCCTGCTGAGGTTCTGAGATTACCCTCTTTCAGTGATAGGGAAGAAAAAGCAGGGTCTAGGTTGCATCCCTCCCCAGCCCCCACGTGTGTGTGTGTGTGTGTGTGTGTGTGTGTGTGTGTGTGTGTGAGAGAGAGAGAGAGAGAGATGGATGGATGACAGGAACTATTACAGTCACAATTACCCACAAAGCTAAGTATGGGTTTTCTTACTCTGGAATTTAAAGCTCTTCATATTTTGGCCTATTTCTTACCTGTATTATATGTCTGTCTTAGTCCATTTTGTGCTACTGTAACAATACCTGGCACAGTCATTTATTAAGGGTGTAAATTTTTTTTTTACAGATTTAGAGGCTGAGAAATCCAAGATCAAAGTGCTTTCTTCTGGTGAGGGTCTTCTTGCTGTAGCCTCACGTGACACAAAGGCAGAAAGGGGTAAATCCAGTCTTGAAAACCCTTTTAATTGCTACCATAAGTTCATTCACAAGAGCTTTGCAACACATCTGCATTGGGGATTGATTTTCCAACACAAGAATTTTAGGGAGCACATTCAGACCTTATCAACAACCAAGCTCAAGTATGCTGTTTGTTACGTAGAAATGCCTGACCTACTTTCCCTGGTTGTACCTTCCTGTTCTCAGCCCCCTCCTACCTTTATCATACAGGACTCTGTTTGAACCTAAGGACAGCCAGCCTCCATGATGTTGCCCAACTGGTAGCAAACCATGAGCTGGGCCAATTTTCTTGATTGAGGCAGTTAATTGACAGCTGAACTTTTAAAAAGGCCATTAGTTGGAAAAGAGGCCATAAGCAACCTGCAGAGCAGAGGGAAGAAAGATACTAGCCAGGATGGTATAGAATGAAGCAGGTATAGCTGAATGTTAAATGTAGAGCCCCAAGTTTCCCAGAGCCCCCTTTGACACAGGGATGCTCTTTAATGTCCTGAGCCTTGGTTGGTCAACTTTTTCTGGATTCCTCTGCATATCCATCCTTACCAGAAACCTTCCATTACTTAAGTTAACAAGGTGTACCTATTTTCTTGCATACAAAAGTGCCTAGCCTCAGTGCTAGTTCTGGTTTCATCTTTCATTATTCCCAAAATTTACGCTAGCTCCAGTCTAACCTCCAAACATTTCCCTGGGCCTCTTCATCTTTCACCAACAGAAACACTTCCTCCCTGTGCTTCTGCTGCTTGCCAACATCAACAACCTTCAAAAGTCATCTCAAATGTCCTTTAAACTGGGAAGTCTGTTGTTTGTTGAAATAGATACAGTATCCTTTAAAATAAAGTTTTATTAAACAATATATCATTAGAGAAAACTTATAAAATACAAATAAATAAGAGGGAGAAAGATTCTACAACCCAGAGAAATCCATTGTAACATTTTGATTATATCTTTCCTTGTCTCCGAAGCAATCCACTGGCCCACCCCATAGCTTTTCTGATTACTTTTAAGTATTATGGAATTATGCTAATTTTTACCAGACCATAAAAATTCCAGTCTATTCTCAAGTCAATGCTTCAGTATTATACTTTATTTAAAGCTCTCAGTCCTCCACTGCCTACAAGTACACATCATGTTGGAAAATCCATGGTGGGGAATGGGACGTGGCTTGTCCCTCTATATTCTGCCTTAACTTC